TTTATTTCGGAGATCTTTTAAGACTGCAATATCAGAAACCTTTACCTCCTGATTGGACCATTTTTTCAGCTATGCCTCCATCAAGGTGGAAGCTGGTTACATTCCAGCTGGGTTGCAAAAGCTCAAAGAGGCTGTCGCTCCTAGCTTGATAGATGCTGGACGGACAATCCTGACTCTCCTGGGACATGATGTAGGCAGTATACCAGGAGGTATCATTATGGTCTTGTATCCAGTTAAGACATATTTGGTCGGAAAGGTCTGTTGAAAAAATGTTGTAAGTCATGAGCATCATCAACATCATATACATGTACATAATACAAGTAAGAATACATAGTAAATGTTTGACGAACTCGAAAGCCCACAGTCGGAAACTTATATTACGTTCGTAGTTTGGTGCATGTATATTGGAATATTTCTATAGTTAATGTGCTGTATGTTTTAAGATTTTAATTTAATTTAGCTGTATATTATTTTTGACTATTTTCATATTGTTAGATGGCCCATTGAAAATCATCTGTTTGTTAGATGACACGCCTATCATCTGTGAATAAAGCTGTTATTATTATTATTATATTAATGTTGCATGTTGTCGCGGGGGGTCATTGGCTCCCGTCCATTCCATGTCGTTTTCGTTATTTCTAGCGGTATATATGAACCACTTTACTGTGCATGCTTCTCGTGTGCTTCCACGCAACTTGCGTGATGCAAGTTGCTTCATGACCTATGTGAGGGATTTGCACTGCCATTTCCCTTAAAGACCTCATGTGTGAATAAATTGCCAAGAATCTATCAAATGGTGATACTTGATGGCTTCTGTGCAAGAAAGATCTCAGGAAAATAATCGAAGACGTGGAAATTGTCAATTTTACGACAAAGGATAATTATGAAATATTAACGTTTTACCTAACTTCATATCTAATTTTCACAATTTTGCCGGCTTTACCTTCAATTTTCGATCTTTCGTCAAACTCTTTAAAGTTATTCATTTCTAGGTATTTATTTCAATTACTTTGACTTTTAGAGATTTAGTTGACTGGATACTAATGTACATTATGCATGTTTACTAAATCATGCTATTAACATCGGTACAGGTTACAAATTTGTTGTGAACCTTTGATAAGTTTAATTGGAAATAGTGGCTCTTTTCAGAAAGCTATATTTAGCAAGTAAGTTGTGCAAACAATGTGATAGTTGTGCTTCCACCACATATTTAATGTTCAATGATCAATCAAAAAAGCCAATAGCACTGCGTTAATTTTAACCTTAGTACCAGTCCTTACAGTATATTATATTCTGGTGGTGATATTCATAGGTCAGCATATTCTCAAAATAGTAAGAAATGCTCGGAACCGCGACGGCAGCTTGTTACAAGCGTCCTGCACACGGTATACCCGTAGCAAAATTAACGTATTATCATCGTGTCGTGATCATTTTAGGTCGAGGTACAACCGTATAGAAGTCTTTCACATCGTGGAACGATCTGCTTGTGTCGAAGAAGAGTCGGGACTCACGCCAAGTGTAATCGTTTCGAGAACAATGCAAAAAGAAGTCAATTTAAACGCTTTCCTGGTAACACTTTATGAACGTGATGTGGTGTTAATAATCCAAAGCTGAATACGTTGTGCTGTTCATTTTTTTCAATTTTTTTTCAAAATGTTTCTGTGTTAATAAATATCGACACAATGACACATTGGGTGTTAATAAAAAGACACAAAAACACGTTCATCAGGTAGTTACACTTTGTGAACACCGAAACACGTTTATTTCCAAAACTTTGTTTACTTTTAAACGGTTACATGCATGTTTATATAAACGCAAAGACGCTTCGTTGATTTTTACAGTGAACCTAATGCGAACTTCACACACGTGCCGGCAAGGCAGTAACAACCTAGTATGATCTTGATAGAAAAATTTTTCACACATTTCTTCTACATGCAGTTTTATCCCGTCTAATAGCCACATTTTAATGACATTTTACAACGTAGCGGGGCGTCCTGGTCGTCGTCAGAGAGTGCAGGCATAATGACTTGTCATCAAGTCATCATCATACTACGAAGCAGTGATTTTTGCAGTATTAGGCCTACTTTTGAGAATGACGTTTAAAGTGGGTTAATTTTTAAGCGATATATACGTTTTGAAGTTTTAATTTATTTCTCACAAAACAAACTTCAGAAAATATGACTCATAAAAACAGACTTCAAAAATATATTTCATAAAAACAAGCTCGTACAAACGAACTACGGAAAACTATTTCTCGTAAAAATGTTGAAAATATTATACTTCATAAAAAGAACGTTTATATTTCACTTTTTGAAATAATTAAAGGTAATAAAGGCATGCCTCACTCTCTCCACTTTTACCATTTTGTTTCTGACAGTTATACATGACTTTGTTTGATGAATTTCATTTCGAAGTTTGACGCGAAAGAGGGAATTATCTCGCTGTTGCCACACCATTGTTTATAGTTCTGTATGTGCCATTTGGCCTGTGTTTTCCGGCTTTGTTTGCGGAAAACATAAAACGGCAGCCGACTGTTGAAGAGAAGAAGGTACATTTTGAGCAATTTGTACATCTAAAAGAAAAAGGAAGATAAGTAATCATTTGGTATTGTGTGTGTACAATCACAGCTATTTTGCAAGAGTGCGTCGTAGACGATGCACCATGGAATAGGCTCATATAACTGCGCAAAATTGATTTTTTTTAGCAAATGGCCGATTTGGGTACGGAAACAGTTACTTAGAATCACGTAGGAGTCTTCTTATTTTGTCATTCCATTATTTTGCAAAGAAAAAGAACGATCCATTAAAATTTTTCAAAACGGAAGTGAGAGACTCAAATTGTGTTAAGGCTCACCGCTGTTATTATGTCCAGTATATATATGGCGCCGTATCGTTTGAGGACGTGCTATGCGCTCCGTTCGGCAAAAGGTGAAGAATGCAATGCTGTCGTTGCACAGCATGGATAATTGACACAAAAATAGGTTGTGCATTATTAGCCCAGTGTTCCAAACAGCTTGTTGCCACTGATAATTATAGCAAAGTTGAGACTCTGAAGTCCTTCGATTCTCTTGTCCTATCGATGACATCTAAAGCCCGCATAGGCCTACTAGCAGACACGTATAAACTCAGACAATTCTAATCAAAATTGTCGGGACGCGTGTCAATAGCTACGGGCGGCGCACGACCAGGGCGAGGGAGGCGTGAGTCCAGGGCACTGACGGAAAGATCCCATTTCGCTAGGCTGCTTGGAAACGCCGCGCCTGCGACCCCAGTCACATTATGAAACACTCGATAAAACACAATTTTTGACATTCAGAACACCCTTAAACGATCCAATCTATAGGAAAGATCCAAGTTGTAACACACAGCATTAGATTATATATGCTACGTTTACGATTTTCCGTCTTATTGTATTATATCGATCACTCATTCTTAGCAGACCAGTGGAGCGTGATTTTACCGTTGGATTGCCATCGAGCTTACACAGCCGCGGCCTATCTAAGTTGACACTGAAATCCCGCTGGCGCACTGCAGCACCTCGCAAAAATCTCACTTCGAAACGTGTTGAGGTTTCGCAACGTTGTTTTTGAAGCCTAGATAATTGAGCGTTGTATCCGAAAAGCGCAAAAAAAGAGCGTGTTTTGAACAATGCTAAGCAAATACACGAAATGGGATAACAGCACAGGACGTTAAAAAAGCGAGCTTTACATCCGCAATACGGGGCACTTAAGTACCAGACGACATATTGGGGAATGCTTTTAATCCACTAGAGTTTTTGATGTTCATTGTTACACACGCTGCCATTCAGAACAACGTGTTTGCATTCTCATCGAGGTGAGCGCTTTCCAAATTGTACACAGCAACAAGGACATACCTGACAACATTCACAAGAAATATTCCTCGATTCTAACCGACATTGTGTAGCGTCGTCTAATACAATTCGATGTACAAGGTTCATTTACTCAATCCACCGAAACAGGATCATTATACTAACACTGCAACTTCCAAACGAATGACCTAATCTTCTTTATCACAAACGATTTAGCCAACAGAATAAAATATTATTTCCATAAGGAGTAGTGATGTTACCATCAAAATGACAGCAGTTTGAGTTCCAGATATTTGCAAAAGAGTCGTTTTTTTCAAAGGCAACAGTGTTAAGCTTTGGTTCATCTGTGAAATCCTGAATAGTAATTCTTTTCATCCAAATAAAAGAGGATTCCTGCTCCTCCTCCGAAGAAACCAACCCTTACTTCGTCTGGCATACTGTCTAATAAGAAATGTGAAGAGGGACTCTGTATGTCATAGAACTAGGCCTATTTTGCGAATTTTGTCATCTATTGCATTAAAACGATAACGTTTGACAACGCGGTGAAAAGAACAAATCTGCACTCAAACCCGAGGTTTACATTAATACTTAATTTGTTAATTTGTCCTCATATTTGTTTGAAGGTAATTTTACCAAGAAGGTTTTTGTCGGGAAGTTTTTATCCGTTTACTCACTCGGATTATGTAAATATACATTATAATTTGAATCTTAGACCTACTAACGTAAGGGTAATATACATCAATTAATGTTATCTCCAGGCCAAGCTATATATATAAAACAATGAAAATGCAACAAAATGGAGGTATTGATGTGATTCAAAATAGGCGAAATTTAGCCAATGTCCATATGTGTTTGTTGATCTAAAATTCCTCCGCAGACAGATTTCTATAATACTTGTGTCGGCAATCAAATTTTTTCAAAGATTTTGATCCCGGACAGCATCCTTATAAACAGTATGCAAACGGAGTCACAGGAAAACCACTCGTCTCTTATAAAAAGTACAGTGACATACCCGAGCCGCTGACTAACTCGACCGCCATGCACATCGCAGTCACCACCAACACTCGTGCTGCCATTACCAACAGGTCGCTACACATTATGATTTGGAAGTGCAGTTTCACTCTTTGTCACAGCAACAATCATAGCCACCTCTACTGAAAACAGCTCTTGGTTTTAACTAAAACTGTGTTTCCAGCGTCTGTGACAGAATATGATACTCAAGGCTCTTCACTCAATATACTGGAAACAGACTTCTTATATCATCAGATGGACTCTGTTTTCAAAACGGCATTACTCCACTCATGACTGTCGCAACAAGTTCAGCCAACCAAACAGAAACTTCCAGTTGTGAAGGTTTTACAAGGATGTTGGTCACAGCTTTTGTCGTCACATTATTTTCAACTTTCCAACACAGTTTGACCTGTGACATTTTCCATCAAAACTCTTAGTCAATGTGCTTGAAATACCAACACGGACGGTATTCATCAGACCAGAACGAATTAAAAGGCGCCTCACGTGCTTGCAGCCAGAGCTGGGATATTGTGCAAACCATTTGCTGTTGTAATGCCATGTTCATGTTTTGAAGGGACATATTCAACAAACTCAACAGCGATATTCAAACCCGACAAATGATATACGGTACCCTGCAGAAATTTCTTGATCATTGACAACAAACAAACTAGAGCCTGAAAGCAAAAGGTCACGGGGCGAGCTTCTGGGACCCTTACGCCCCTGGCTATCTGGATTTGACATGGACTTACCCTGTCAGGTTTCATAATTTTTGGAAGACCAGAATTCTAACTGAAACCACTTCAAGAAACACTCATGTCGGAATTATTCTGCTGTATTCTTATCTTGGGGAAATTTCACACGGAGAGGGGTAAAAAAAAAACGCATTTCATTCACGAGATGAAAATATTCATTGAAATAAAATGAAATTAGCGAAACCAAAATAGAGCCTGAAAGTAAAAAGTAATTTAACCTGAAGTACCCTGTCAGGTTTCATAATTTTTGGAAGCACAGCTCCTGACACCACTTCAAGAAACACTCATGTCTGAAATTTTCCTTTGTTTTCCTCAAGTAATAGTGTGGCAAACGCGCATGGAGAGGGGTAAAAAACCGAATTTCAGTGGCGACCTTTCCCTTCTAGCTTTATCGGTACTCGGTCTCTTTGATTATTTCTTTATGCACGTTTTCTTTCACTTCATGTGCTCAAGTGAGGAGAATGAATAACGTTGTGAAGGTTACTTTATTCATTTAAGTGCGTTACTGTAACTTATTTTGTGTTACATGCCTCCTTGGCACATTAACTTGTTAACGTTGATTAAACGTTGGCGTCAGGTTAGTATATTAGTGGTTCATTTTCCGTTGTCACACGTGAGGATGACACTTAAATCCTGGTTGCAATAAAATGTTAAAACAACGTTTATAGTTTGTAAGCAAGCTCAATCGAGAAAAGCTTTAGTAAGTTACCTTGAAACATATGGTAAAAGTTGGCTAGCGAGCTTGGTTGAACTATTGATCACCAAAATACGTTACCACATCCCTATGGCGTGCAAAGTTAACATTTAATCCGCGTATACAGATATCTCTATTCCAAATAGAGATGTCTCTATTAGGAACACACAGCGGTTTGTTGAAGTCAACAGCACCTTATCATTTCATCTAAACACTGGAATTGGAGAAGAGTTCGGTATTCTCTCACAGGGGTTGAAATAGAAATGATCCATACCAGTGACCAGGTGCCAATCAGTTCCTTACGTGCAAAACAATGACCAGAGACTCACTGGAGGTTTTGTAATCGATTCGCCAAACGCTGCACTTGGGATTTTCATTCCTTAGATTCAACGGCAGATTGAACAAGTGTATCACGTATGTTCTACATTATGTATATTGTAAGGCCTTTCTGCTGGCTGTATACCTTGTATCTTCATTAATGTGAGTGGTTTGGGAGGAGATTCTTCCGTGGAAATTATGTGGCTCCGAGAATAATTAGCCAGTAACATGAAGACATCACGTTTACCATGTGCGCTTTCTGGGCACGGAAGTGGGATGCGATCCATCATGAGTTTCCCACTGCCTTGACTCACAAGTCGTTTCTGTTTTTCATTCTCAAAAATCTACTAAACTGATATAAGCAATACTAATCAGAAGCATGTAATACACATAATAATGATAATTAAATTTGAAAAGAGGCATGTTCAAAATATTTTGCTTGTTGATTTGAATTGATTCTAATTTCAATTGATTATTTTAAGACGATTCAAAATATAGCGAAATCAATGGATTTGTATATAATATAATGAAAGGAGTATGGATTTTAAAACAAATTTTAACGAGTTTTGCTTAAAATTGAACGATTATGTTTAATTACGAGAAGGGGCAAGAAAACCAGGAAAAAGCCATTGCAACTCAATACAACAAATAACACATTATCCTAATACAACATTACTGCAATGAAAATGACCAAACAACTGTGTCATTACGTAACACTCACCTTGAACATTTCTCAAATTTCGATAAAAATGTCCTGCAACGTCAACTACAATTATGGAAAACCGCAAAAAGACCAAACTATGGTACACTGAAAAGAATTTTGACATTTTGTGAGAGCTTTGCAATCAACCAGTGTGCTGAAACCATCGCGGGCGAATGGAAGTGGTTTAAAGTTACAGATATTGTCGTGTAGACTAATCCGATTAGACGCCATAACTGCTGTGGCACCGTACTCACACGCACATTCTTCAGCTTGACGTGTACTATGTTAGCATAAATGAGACGATTCTTCTGTTTGCATTTCCTGTACGAATGAAGAAGAACTGTCCTTATTCTTCTGCTAAAGTGTCTAAGGACTGTGTAGAGTACGCTGTATATGATAGAACCTAAGATCGTATAGCGCCGCGTAGCGGCGCAAGATGGCGAACTTCACCGTGAATACACGTAAAACGTTGTAATCGTATTGTAATTGCACGGGCGCCATTTGAGCAAATGATGTATATACGCCTGCGCAATGCACATTAATGCCTAGGCGCAGGCGCCGCGGCAGGCACGTGCATGGTGAGCCTGCGCCTAAACATTACCGTAAACTGCGCAGGCGTATCGCTTACTCAAATGGTGCCCTTGGTAATTACACCTTTTGGGCAGAGTTATCCATCTTGCGCCTTCGGCGCTATACGATCTTTGAATAGAACCATGCCTACTTTCCAAATTTTGCCGTAGACTGCAAGAAAATATATAACTTTTGAAAATGAGGTAAAGATAATGAAACAGAGTGGATCGAGTAAGAGGTAGACTGCCACATCAGGAACGATACGTCCGCGAACGTGCAACTTTATTAACGCTGAAATTCTTTGTTCCTATCCTGTGTAACGATACAAGTCAGGGACAGCCCAGGTTAGACGCCAGTCTTCATTCTACTACGACTGACGTCCAGCTCTTGCGTATAGTGTAACTAGAAATTTGTACCAATTTATTCTAAACTAATTTCCGTTTCCATGTTCTGTATGTCTCTACCTATCTGTGGGGGGGGGGTTAAGGAATTTCAGAAAGAGCC